AATGGTTTCTTATCCTCAGGGGCAAGAGACAGACTTTACTATTAGGTAGCTGCCTAAGGCCCCAAAGGCCAGAAATGTACAATCATGTTTTGAAACTGTACATATTGTATAATTAAAATATTGTATAATTACTCTCTTAGTCACCCCCCAACACACACACACACACACACACTAAAGGTACATGGACTATTCCACTTCTAGATGCGCCACTGACCACCAAATACAAACACAGTGGTGTTCAAGCTTTAATATGGTCAAGAGTCTGAATGACAGCATCAAACATGAAATGGAATTGTCCCAGAGGGAATTCTCAGAGGCGGAAGGGAAAACTACAGACAGAGAGAGAAGTAGCAACACGTTGGTCCAGATAGCAAACACCAACACCGAGGCAAATACATCACAATCAGACACAGGTACTTCCATAACACAGGCAAATAGAGAAATTATACATATAAACTGCATTATTCTTTCAGAAAATTCCAATCGCTGTTTCAGCGGGGCAACAGCTCAGAGCTGGGGAAAGCTCTACTCTACACAGCAAAGGCCGGGCAAAGCCAATTGGGATCCAACTGTGATTATAAATCCTTTGTTAGATTCATAATTTTGTGGCTACCTTAAAATATATTTATTAAATGAGGTTGTGGATGTTTTTTCTTTTGTGTGGGTTTTTTTTCCAATCAATATCATATCCACTCAACACAATCCCATGGATAATTAGTTAGACCCAACTAGATTACAGCTTCATTTTCATCTAGTAATGGAAGTGTAACAACAGTGATCAGGAGGTGCAGAAAAGCCCCAGTGCCATTTACCCGAGACAGAGAGAGAGGAGAAAACATCATTTTCATCATAAAGAGCTTTATCTTTGAAGCTTTGCTTTAACGTAAACATCCCTGGGCTGAAAACCATAATTTCCATAGTGTCATCATTTCTTTTTGCAGATTTCTACATGCTCTTTCCCAGTGATAACACGGGGTCAGAGAAAACACTGCACTCCCTGTGCTGTTTAACATTGTATTTTGAAGAATGGAAGCTGATATGAAAGCACTCTGGTCACTTCTGATGACTCTGCTGCGTTAACTCTAGAAATGATGACTCACCAGAAAAGTGGAAAAATGTCCTGCAGTTAAAAAAATAGAAAAAAAAACATGGGGAAAGTTCAAAATAATAATTCTTAGAGAATATGGCCAGAGGTGTAATGGAGCACGGAGAGGATGTGTCATTTAGACAGGAAAGGAGACGAGAGGGTGAAGAATAATATTAAATACTGAAATGATGTGAATTCAGCCCATTTTAAATGACAAGCTTAAAGTCCCCACAGCTGCTGCACTGTGCCTCCCCATCCTGTCCTTTTAACGCTTTCAGCTCATCCCAAAATCAGATTACATTTACTACACTGTATCATCTATATAGCCCAGAGATGGGGACTCAAGTTTGCAACTTGGACTCGAGTCGCACTTGAGTCTCTCAATCTCACACACACACACACACACACACACACACACACACACACACAGTGACCTCTCTAATGATAAATAACAATGCCCCTCACCCACACTGTTCAAATCACCTGACAAATTTACACACAAAGCAAAACTAGCATGTCATCCTAGCCAAGACAGACTACAGCTGTGTGCAAATTTTGCATTCCCTTACTTTGAAATGGCAAATAGAGTTAAACGAAATATTTTTTCTCAGCATCATAATATTTAATGCACATTTAGCTAATACAAATGTTCCTTCATCAACAGAAGTAAAAGTGGTTATAGTAAAATAATATCCGTGTAGTGTTTGTATCCATTCAAGTGTAATTTCAGGTTATTTTTCATGGCTGACTTGTTCCAGATATTGGGCTGAATTCATTCTTCCTTCCACTTTATGCAGAGCTCCAGTGCCTGATGTAGACATACACCCCCCAAAATATCAGTGAGCCTCCACCATATTTGACTGTGGGAGTGGTGTTCCCCTCCTTGTAGGCAGTCTTTTTTCGCCACACATACCTGTGTGAATTATGACCAAATAATTCAATTTTGGTCTCCTTAGCAAACTCCAAGCCTGCTGCCTTATGTCTAGAAGTAAGCAATAGCTTCCTGTGTGCTTTTCTGCAAAACAATCCAGACTTGTGCAAACTATGCTTGACTATGGGGATGTGGACTCTTTATTCCAGTTGCCTATAAGGACTTTGCCAGGTCCCCTGCTGTTTGTTTTGGATTCTTACACAGCTCTCGAGCAGGATTCCTAGCGCCTCTTTCAGTTACAGTGTCACTGAAAACCCGTGGATCGATGTGAAGAGGGCTGTACACAGCAGACAATCAAGCAATTTGGTAGACTTGGAACAAATCAGCCATGAAAAATGGGCTAAAATTACACCTGTAAGGATACAAACGCTGCTCAGAGGTTGGAGGAGGTTAGGAAGGACATACAAAGTATTACAGAACATTTCATAAAGGGGGATGCGAACATCTACACTGATACTCTTTTACTGTAACTTTCTTTTTATACCCCCCCACCACCATTTTTGTTACTTGTGCTGATGAAAGAACATTATATTGTACTAGCTGACTCTGCATTAAATATTATGTTGATTAGGGGAAAAAATTGTTTATTCGTTTTGGCATTTCAAAGTACGGGGATGTAAACTTTTACACACAACTGCACTGGATCCTTAAATTGACCCTCATGTCCTGCTGGAGGGGCTCTCCACTTTGTCCTGCTCAATGTCCATTTCCTTTACTAGCCAACTAACATTAAAGTAAAATAATCCAGCAAGCAATAGAACATTAAATCTTAAGTGTTTTTTAAAACTAAAACTTAGTAGCCAACCGTTTTTAATGTTTGCATTTGAACAATCAAGCTACTTATAGCTACTTGGTTGTCTCAGTCTGGCTACATCCCATTGTTATTTTATTTTATTCAAACCATCTTCACCAGCATGACGTGATGTGGTGCATTCAAAAGCCAATGTCCCAGTATTCCCAGCTTACAAAAACTGGCCATAAACTCCTACCCCTGCCATTCTAAGTTTATCTTGCACACTGGCCTAATTTCAGCTGCCACCTCATACGGAGTTTTAAACAAAGGAGAGTACAAAAATGTGAAATGTATTTTCCAGGATGACAGTGCTTTTCCAGGACACTATACAATCTACCTCCATTTCCATGTTTTTTCCATGGCTGGAAAACTGGTAAAAATCTTCCAGGCGTTCCAGGAGGCATGGGAACCCTGAATACTTCAACCACTCTGGCAGATGGTTTGTTTTAACAGATCAGATTCGACTTACTTGTCATTGTACACCATAAGAACAATTAGCATCTGACTAGCAAAGAGCCTAAGCTATGGATAAGCTATATATGAATAAATCTGAAGAACAACAATAAAACCCAGCTCAAACCCTCACAGGCCTCACTGACCAACCACTGGATAAGACTTTATATAGCAGGCTGTGTGGATGTTTGTAGAACTTAATAAGTTGTATGTTTCTTTTTTTTTTTAAAACATCACCTGTATGCATAGGCAGTATTACAACAAGGCGTAAATAGTTTCACCTTCAGAAATTCAGGGAGTGTACGTACACAAAAAAGGTTTGTCACAAAATAAACCACTTTTATTTTGTGACAAACCTTGTTTTTTTTGCTTGAAAATAATAATTGTATCATCTTTCAAACTTTAAGGACAGAAGCTTAACGATATAAACACTGTCACGTCAACACATGAAGAGCAGCCTGACTGTACGTCGGTTTAGTGGGCATTTCAAGCCTCGTTGAGGATGCTCCGACTGCAGCTACAAATAACTAGATTCTCAGATTTAATCCGTGTTACGACTCTCAGTTTATAGTGGTATAGGGGCAACATTTGAGTGCTTTCTACCCTGTGGGATCTGTGTTGTTATGAAGTGGCTCATTTACCAACTTGAACTTAAATTAGTGTACCCACTGACAGGACTGCGGATGCAGGAGGATTCCCTCCACAAGCTGCAGCTCGGTGTTTACCTTAGTGGCTCAGAGCCCGCGCTAGGAGGCCTTCTCTCGGCCTGTCATTGCAGCTCAGTCCGCTGGCTCTAACTGCGGCCATTTTCTGCTGACTAACACACACACACCGGGAGAAGGAGGCTGGTGCTGAACTTCAACTTGGCCTCCACCGTCCCGCGTGACGACCGGAACAGGGGTGACGACGGGCCTGTCGCTGCACGTTGTTCCACAAAAGCCCCAAACTCAACAACTTTGACCCGAGAATGCCCACGCTGATACACACATACACCATTGCACGTTGCCCGCTTACTCACTCACCGCAAGGGGCAGGAAATCACATTTTCCGGTGGGATAAAGCAATACGTCCCGTTCTCCTTCAGGGAGACAACCTTGCTCCAAACTCCATTGAAAACTGCTTGAGTTTAAAGTTGACGTGTTTATGCCAAATATGCTTATCGACTCGTTTGTGACGTTACACCGCGATCTGTTTGCTGGTCTTTAGGCAAATTCGGCACACATAAAATACTCAAAATAAGCCTCACGTCAACAAGATATCAAGTTTAATAATCACACTGCTGGCTTCCGCCCCGTGCAGTGTGTGAGAAAAACAATTGAAAGAACGATCGAACTGAACAAGCAAGTTAAGGTTTTATTAAAATATGGTATATATTGCGTGTCGCATCCGTGCCGAATTTAAGCGTGGATCTTGACAATGCTTCACCGTTTTCAAGTGTTGTGCCAAGTGTATGTATTTGCCGTTATGCAAGGGATATTTTATTGGCCAGATTTTTTTAATGAAATTTGGCAAAAGAGTCTCTCCTTGGGCAAACGTCAACTAAAAGGCGGAGAGAAAACAGTGGAAATGCCCTTGTGACATTTAGAGAAAGGGATGCAACTACCGCCGCTTTCTGCTCCACTTTAAGCCGCGTAGCTAACGTTACTTGTTCAACTCCTCGCATTGCGTCTTTTTGGAAAACGCCAAACAGCACACCAGCTGGAAGGGACAGTACACCGGAACAGGTTTTGTCCTACCATTTCGAAGCTTCGCCGCCACCGGGGGAAGTTAAAGCTGATTTCAACGCCTGCCCATCTTGCGCTGTCGGTCGTTATCATTCCATAGGGTATTTATGTCCATCAGCGTGCGTGTGTCAGCTGGAGTAAAGCCGCGGGGCTCCAGACCAGGAACGTCCCGCGTCAAGCTTCGGCCTCCCTCCTCCACCTCCACGATAGGCTGCGGCACAACAGAACCGAACCGTGCCGTGCCGTGCCGTGCTTGACTGTCACTGTTCCCGTCATTCTCTCGCAGCCTACTCTTATGCATCTCATTTTCTCTCTTCTTTCCACCCCTGTCCCTTTTAATTCTTTCATTTACTTTTTGCAGGCTACTTTTTCTTTGTCCTCTTCAATGTCTCCCCATCCTTTCCTCATCCTTTTATCATTTCCCCTCTTCCTTCACTATACCTTTGGCTTTGCTGTGGTTTTTTTTATTGAATGGGGTCTACATTTAGAATGCATTTACAGTCTACCTGGAAATCCTACATTTTGTTGAATGGGGCCATTGATTTCAGGAGATGCAGTGTCCAGCTGGGTTCAACTTTGACCCAATTTGAAAATTCACTTCCTGTCAAATACTTTGTTCCTTTACAAATTTTATAACATATTTCAAAAATATAATTTAAAACAGAAGGCCTAGCCTATTTACATATAATATATACAATATAGTTCTGTGGCCTCACAGTGAGAAGGTTCCAGGTTTGAGCCCTGGTCGACCAGGGGCCTTTCTGTGTGGAGTCTGCATGTTCTCCCTGTGCCTGCGTGGGTTCTCTCCGGGTAGTCCAGCTTCCTCCCATAGTCCAAAGACATGCAGCTTAGGTTGACTGGTGACTCTAAATTGCTGGTAGTAGTGAGTGTGAGTGTGTGTGGTTGTTTGTCTACATGTCAGCCTTGTGACAGACAGGAGACCTGTCCAGGGTGGACCCCACCTCTCGCCCAGCATCAGCTGGGATTGGCTACAGACCCCCATGACCCTATTCAGGAATAAGTGGTATAGATAATAGATGGATGGAATATTAATAATAATATAATATTTTATTCTGCCTCCTTCAAAATACACAGCAACCAGAAAACCAATGTATAGTTTAAGATGAAAAGAACAAGGAAGCAAATAAAACAATAAAGAAATGCACACTTGCTGTACAATGGCAACATGTAGCAATTTTGTGTGTTAACAAAGATATGTTGGCAGTTTAGTATGTGAAATTCAACAGCACCTTCTTCTGTGCTTTTTGTAGCTTTGTCCTCAGCATCCACTGCAGTGTCGAAGAGTAAGGATGAGAGCGAAGCGTTCATAGAATGGCCCATGGTGAACCAGGAGTGACAAGCTGTTCAAATGTCATAATCAGCAACGGCTTAACTGTTGTACAGATATGCCAGGGAACTGGTATGTGTCAGTGGAATTTGAGTGACAGTGGCATACTAAGCACTAACAGTGGCACCACTCAGCCAGCATATTCCACTAGAACATTAGCGACATCTGGATGAATTATAATAACTTTGGTGATCCCATAAATTTTATCTTGAGAAGACAAAGTCAAAAATGTTAGTACCTCAGTACCTTGGCTAATGATCAAATGCCTGCAGAACTGATATTCCCATCAGCCTCTGACAGTGTTTGGTGCCAATTAGCTATAAGCAACATAACATCCTAAACTAAGATGGTAACTATGGTAAACATTATACATGCTTGTTTAAAAAGGTGGGTAATAGAAGGCACATGTGCAGCACCCATTCAGAGTAAGCACATCTTTTCTATGGTTTTGATTGTTTTTACTTTTTCAGCATTTTTTATTACTTCAAGTAGATTTATTCAGTATGAAATTACCCACAAAAATGAATGTATCATGGCCACTGTATTGCTAAGTCAACACTAGCTTCCTCCCAGTCTATCTCATATGGATAAATGTATATGAAAAGGCAGTACTACCAAACAGAACTATGAAATGTGTTTCCAGTCTTTGAAGCCAGTTTTAATGAACCAAGCTTCTGTAGCGGCCTCTGGGAAGTGGGGACAGGACCGCATCTCTATATTCTAACCAGAGAAATCTTTGCTACCATTGAGAGGAAAATCTCATAGCTTTCCCTAATATAATGGTAGCTGAGTAGGAACCGCATATGGGTTGGGTCGCCGGCTTATTTATGGCAGACAAGTATGGGGGGGGGGTTGTAGGTCCTCAGGCTGAATTCCTCCTGGAACACAATGAACACAGGAAACGCTGCCATAACTTACAGCTTGTTTGGCTCAGAATATTTTGGCTCAGTAATATATTATTACTAGTAATAATTACATATCCTGTTTACAAACTTTGCCAACTGGGTGTGAAGTGGTAGGCGCTGTCAGCTGGTCAGCAGGCTAATGCTGAGCTAGCCACCATGCTAGCATTTTCACTGCTTGATGCAGTGAGCACATCAGAGGAGGAACTGGCGCAGGTGTTTCATACTGGTCCATATGGCACCGCTTTGTAACAATTTAAATAGATTGTTTTGTTTCACCATAGTTAAAAGCAGCCTGCTGGTGCAGTGCATGCCATTTTCTACAGTGTAATATAGTAGTTATTCCTAGCAGATAAACAGGTAGACTACTCTACCTAGCTTACAATTTGATTTAGGAGAGGGGTTTCAAAACACGTTTTATTTGTATTGGTCACACATCGACTGTATTTCATTAGATGAGGAGTTTTTATCCCCAAACTCTTGTAATTGGCCCAGGACCACCCACAGCGCTGTGGCAGTTTTTATCTTAGGTGTTTTGGCCTTGGCTTTTAATACACAGTAGGGCCTGATGCATTCCTTTTAATTCATTGAATGTATGTCATCTCTGTGTCAGTGTTATTGTGCTGTTTTATTTTTGCATTGATCCTATTTATTTTATTTCAGTTATTTATTGTGATTTTATTCTGCCCATGTAAAGTACTTTGGTCAACTGGATGTTGTTTTTAAAGTACTATATAAATACATTTGATTTGATTTGATTTGATATAGTCTGTTGTTGAAGTTTCACTATGAGGTGGGGAAAATTTTTGTCGTCACGAGGATAAAAAATAACTCTGCAGAGGCAGGAATATGTAGACCAGGGGGTCGCCCATCCCCCAAACAAACGTCACACTGACTGCAAACATTATCTTAGGTGTGAAAGTACATTTTACAAACCTAATTTCATGTGCTATTCAATTTGCAAGACAGAATTTGAGAGTGTTCCAAGATGGATTTGAACTTGATTCATGTCTGTATAAACACATTTATACAGACATGAGGAGCCTCCATCTCAACTATCAACTGATGTCTGATAAAAGGGGTTGTTGGACAATAAAGGACTTCCACGCAGGATGCTCTTGTGTATCCTTGCTCATGTCTCCTCCAATCAGCCTCCTCACTCCTCAAAGCAGGAGTAATGCGGTGTCATTTAAACCTTAATAATGAGCAGCTAAGTGGAAAAAACCATTCACATCAACCTCTGACTTGTAATTCTGAGTCAGAGATTTCAGGAATTTGAAAGAAAGGAGTGCAGAAGTGTCATCATTACAGGTTTGAAAGTGGCTTGAAGACAACCATCACCAACATTTACACATAATTTCACTTGTAAAAGAACCAAGACATATGCATAAAGTTACTTAGCAAGCTTTGGGGTCACACAAAATAACATTCATGATAAATAGTAATTAACAAATTAGCTTCATGGTCAAAATAGCCAAATGTAAAAATGTAATTTCACTGTTCCAGACAGTGAGTGCAGAAAGCTGTAGCAAAATTTGTTGAATTGTATGAAAAAACAGTTTGGAGTTTTGGTTTCAGTTTGGAGTATGGTTCAGATTTGGTTACGCTTGGGTTAGGGTAAGTCTCCAGAAAATGAATGCAAGTCTATGTAAAGACCTAGTAAGTGACAAAAACAAGGATATGTGTGTGTGTGTGTGTGTGTGTGTGTGTGTGTGTGTGTGTGTGTGTGTGTGGGGTGTGTGTGTGTGTGCTCTAGTACAAATGAGGAGCACATGCTGACTCAGTCTCTTTCATCTGCACAGTAACTCCCCCTGGAGGCCTTCACGTGTACATATTTGAAAGGTGGTTGTGATGCTGAGAATAAGAATAATAGTAACACAAAGCATAGAAGAAACATTTGCTTTATTCATAGACCTGTTAATAAAGGCATGGAGGTTTCAGAAACTAACTTGCTCAAAGATCTTATTTTAATGTTGCATCTAATCTGACTGCTGTAAACATTCTAGGAAGAACACAAAATTAGACCCATACCCACTCTACAAGGTACAAAGTCTTTCTTTGCTGCTAGAGGGCAGCATTTCCCTGTCCATGCAGCAGAGCATTATTTAGGACACATTGTTTGCCTGAAACAGCCTTCTACAGCTGTGATAAGAGAAAGATGGAGAGGAGGGAGACAGAGCTGTCTTTCAAAGAACACAGAGGACAGATGTTTACGCAGGAATTATCTGCTTTTAAAAGCATGCATTTCACACCCTCCACCTACTCCGCCTCAGTTGCACCTCCAGCATCTGTTCCATCAACAACAACAACTGGATTTCAGTTCAGCATTCAACACCGTTGTCCCGGACATTCTTCATTCATAACTGACCCATCTCACTGTGCCTGTCCACATCTCTCAGTGGATATCCAGCTTCTAACAGATAGGACACAACAGGTGAGGCTGGGGAAAACCACATTCAGCTTCAGGTCAGTGGTCACAGGTGAATCTCACTACACTGCTCTTCTCTGTACACCAATGACTGCACCTCAGAGGAACCCTCTGTTAAACTCCTAAGGTACACAGACAACAAGAATGGCCATTGGTCTCATCCAGGACAGGGCTGGGTTTCCATACAGACAGGAAATTGAACAGCTGGCCCTGTGCTGTGGTTGCAACAATCTGGAGTTGAACACAGTGAAAACAGAACAAACAGCAGCACAGTATCAGCTGTGGAGTCCTTCAAGTCCAACAGTGTGAGGTTTTTGCACTTTCTTTCTAGATATTTAGATTTAACTTTAACATTCCAATGTTTCTAATCGTTTCTGCGCTGACTGCAGTCAGCGACAGGACACCTACTCCGTTCACTCCTCTGATGTTTCTCTGCTCATCATCACACGTAGAGCAGCTGTTTATAATCTGTGGTTTATAGTTTATAGTCTGGGAGCTACTTTTGTGCACTTAGCCTCAAAACAAGTCCATTTTCTTTTTCTGTCGCTCCTCTTCTGCACCGCGGATCAAAGTTTTCCATCTCTTCAAGTTTTATTT